GTTAAAGTTCATATTCTTCCACTCATTTTGAGGGGGTTCCTTTTTGAAGAAACCTTCCAGAACCATGACCTTTCCTCTTCAGGGGATACCTTATGGTACAGCAGCCATAGCACTGGAAGCTGATTAGAAATGCAGACTCCTAGGCCTCCCAGACTGCAAACAGGCTTCCTTGTGGTTGCTAGGCTCATATTGAGACATGAAGATTTAAATACAAAGCTTACAAATGTGCTTAAAGAAAGAAATCATAAAATATTTTTAATTAGGAGGAAAGGAAGGAAGAGAAGGAAGGAGGCAGCCATAGGCTCCTCAGGGCCCAGTGAGAGCTAGTGAGACTGCATTAATGAAAAGCCTTTTAAGAGGGGAGTAAGTAGAAACCAACATGTCTGTATTTCAGTTCCTTTTGTTTTTCTGATAAGGAAATATAGCAAAGCAATGCACTTGGCTTTGCCTGAGCCCTGTGTTTGAAGGTGACTCTAACCACTGTCCAATTCCTGTGCTCACAGAGGAAACAACATGAAATAGCTGACCCCAACTGGCTGCTTATCAAGGACTGTTACATATACAGGTGTCTTCTATCTGGCCCATGACTTTCACATTTATCCTTTTCTCTAACATAAGTGCCAATTATCTCCTTTCCAGGGCTACTTAAGCCTACAGAAAGCCCTGTCTAACTGTTCTGTGCACCTGAGGACAGGTCTCCAGCCGTGGTTTTGTGCACACCGCTAACTGAGTGCACCCTGCAGGTTTGTTTGTGGATAGTTGCACTAATTTTCTCACCATAGACCATTGAGACCATTTGGATGACTGTTCAATTAATAGTACTGAAGGAGTAATTAAGGAGAGTTCCTGCTTGCCTGACTTACCCCAGTGCCCACTGTGAACATTTTCTCCTGAATGTGACTAATCACATAAATTCTCAGAAATGAAATTAAAGGTTACCCACACATGGCACTCCGTTGTGTCTGCAGGCATCCTACCCTGCAGGCATCTTATCTTTCATGGATTCCCTAGATTCTGGTTTGAAGCTGGGGGTTTCAGCATATACTCTGTTTTGCCAGCAAGTGATCCTGTGGTCTCTGCCAGTTCCCATAACACTTTGAACTGGCCATTCTTAAAAGACAGTAGTAGATTTGGCAATGTCTGGGATTCAAGGAAGAAGTTCAAAGGATCCCTTCCCAAAATGGCTGATTCTCGCTACTCAAACTTGTGAGTTCACAGCAAGGGCAAGATAATGCCCTGGTTTTTAGACTGCTCTGCCCATGCCCTTCCCATATGTTTCACACTGCAGAACCAACACTAAACAATTTTCTATGAGATCTGAATACTTTCTCATCCAGTTAATGTCACAGTTAACATTATCTGCCTTCAAACAGCTGAACAGCTTCAGAGCGGCACAAAACAACAACTTCACGGGAGACTAATGAACGTAAATCCCCCATACAGTTGGGATTTCTATAATAAACCAAGGCAGGAGGAATGATAACTAAATAATCAGAGCACAGAGATATTATTATTGCTGTTGTTACTATCTTCCCTTGGACTTTAAAGTGAAACAGGACATCAAGAATGAAGATCCTAGATGCTTGGAGACATTAGATACCAGTTTAGAGATGGGAAAAACCAAGATCCAGAGACATCACATGACTTATTTACCATAGTGTGGTTGTTATGTGATATGGAATGACATTGTCTATGTCTTTGTAAAGGTCTTCTAAAAGGACAGCAAGTTGCTGGCAAAGTTTTCACTCTTCTTTCGCAGTTTTAGTCATCAAATGGAGGTATCAAGGAACTGTGAAAGAACACACACACACAAAAGAAGAAGAAGAAATTTATTATATTCCAAACACAGCTTGATTTGGTTTATAGGTATCTTGTGCATACTGGAGGTGATATCATATTTTTTTTCTCATTTCATTCATGAAGCAGATTTTTATGGTGTGAAGTTTTTCTTTTGTAGCATTCTGTCAGTGCTACAAAAGTATTTCAAATATTCAGGTTTTGAGTTTTCAGTTTATAAGTACTTAACCTGTATGTATTTTAACATATCATTATGAGAAATGCCATCTCTCTTAATTAAGCATAAAGAATGTAATATAAGATTTTAGTTTTGTATAAATGAAAATATCTTGAATAATTTTTAGTTGTCTTGTATCCATTTTATTCATCTTTACTAATGAAATGTAGGTGGGTGATGGACAACTAGATAATTAAATCATGTGTGTGATAGGACCCCAAGGGATTCCAAATCTTGCTTAGGTATTTATGGTTTTGTTTCTAAAATGAGTGATAATAAATCAAGTAAAATATTCTTTAAAGATATGTAAAAATTTCTGAAAATAGGTTGGGTCAATCTCTGAGATGGATCACTGGCCCAGAATATGCAAGGTCCTGGGTTCATTTCCTCACACTAGAATATAGAAAATAAAACAGTAACTTCTGAAAATAAGTTTGTATTGTGTTTGCCCTGCCCAATAGTCTTGTACTGTTTTGAACTTGTACTGTTTGAACTCTGTGATGAACTTTTAATACAATAAACACCACCAACAATTCCAGTCTTTTCATATAAAAGAAAGTTAACTAAAATTTACAAAATATGAAGACTACTGATGTTGTTAATGATGTTGCACTTTAAGAGTAAGATGAAAGTAAAATCATGTCCAGAAATGTTGGCGGAGGTATGTGTAAACTATTAAATTTTAAAAAGTAATTTAGATAGTGGGCAAATCAACCTTGTAAGTAAACAGATTTCATGTTAATCTCAGCTGTTGTCTCCTAGTTTTGCAAGTTTGTAGATAACGTAAATGATCATCTAGCATAAGTAATAAAGATAGACTTAGGAGAGTTTACTGATACACAACTTTCCTGAGTGCCATCATCAGATGCTTGTCCCTGAGCATAACATCTTTAGGTGCTAAGACTGAGAATGAGTTTGTGGGACTTCCATTGCCAGCTGGACCCAGAGGCCGTTATCCATCTTTCCCTTTTAGAAAATAGATATGTAGCAAGGAATTAACAATGCTGCTTGCCTGGGGAAGCCATGGCTTTAGAGAAGTCCAGTTCTGAAGTCATGGAAACCAAATGGGAACTGTACATTAGATCCCAAGGCATGTAGTCTTTTCCCTAAAATAGAATGTAACCACGAGTTACAGTACCTACCTGTAGAGAGACTCAGCATGTGTCCATCAAAGATGATCTTCAGACCCACTGCAGGCGCCTTGTTCTGCTTTGTGCTACTCTGCATAGTAGTTTTAATGCTTTCTTTTGGGTAGCAGGGATCATTCAGTGTCACTTACCTCATGAGATATAATCAGCTAATAAACATCAGACTTCCTGACCACATGGTGCTATGGTGACAGCACATAGTATTATTAATAAGCAGAATGTAATTACCTCAGTTGGCATTTTTCCAGAACATAAAGCTAATACTCATTCCTGCTTGATGTGAAATACTTCCTCCTCAGCCATTAATCATAGCTGTTGGCATGTCATTAGCAAATCTAGCAAGATACCAAGTGCCACTATATGTACACTGATGTTTAACCTTTTTTGCATTAAAAGTCTTTACACAGAAATAAAATTCCCTCAATATTTATTGCCTTATTTACACCAAAATTGCAGGCACTTTGATAAATGGAGTGATCATTTCTAGCATCACTGTGGCTATGAAATGCATTTTAGTGTCTTCTGTGGCTGTAACTTAATAATTCATTTCAGCACATCTATTTAGAAATCACAGTGGGTTTATTTGATAGACAGAGCACTGGAGAGAAAGGCTCCTCCTGTCAATACAGATAGCCCATGTTTGGGAATTAGTGTCTAACAAGCAGTATTAACTTCATAGGCTTAAATTTGTTTACAACCTTTGATGATAGGTCCCGTTTTTCAGATTTGACACCTTTAGTGTTTGACCATAAAAGTCATATTTATGTGCTTAGTTTGATAAACAATTTCTTAAGACTGAGTGGTATTTCTTCTATCATATTTGCTAGGCTATCTAACGGCTAATTGAAGCCACACCCATAAGAATGTTTGGATAATTTTATGACCTTACTTTTTCAGTGAATTGATGACAAAGGAAGTGATATTGGTATTGACTTCTAGAAAAGAGAACCGTATATCAGGGTTACATATGGAAGTTCACACCTTTAACCCAGCACTTGGAAGACAGAGGTAGCCATTTTACAAATTCCAGGCTAGCCTGTGCTGCATAGTAAGATTCTGTCTCACAAAAATGTGGAGTTTTTGTTTTGTTTTGTTTTATGAATTTTAAGGGCTGGAGAGATGGATCATCACTTATTGCTTTTCCAGAGGACCCAGGTTTAATTCCCAGAACTCACATCAGGTGACTCACAACTGCTTATAACTCCATTTCCAGGGGATCAGCTGCACTCTTCTGCCTCTGTGGGCACCTGCATTTATGTGGTACTCATAAGCTCATGTATGCAAATACATATATCCAGAAATCTAAGTAAATAAATATTAAAATCATAGTTTATCTTGTTATATATGGCACTTTTGAGACATAAATGATTATATGGCATGCATTAAACTTTGCCTTTGAGAAACTTGGGAGTAGGTGTGGCCAATAGACTGCCACTTCCTGGATGTTGGTAGACTCAAGCCCAGAGCTCAGGGACCTTAAGCGGGGAACATATTGATTGCAATGGTGGTTGTTGTAAGAGGTCACTTAATGTGATGCATTGGTGAGTTAACCTAGAATATTTAGAAAATATTTTTTGAGAGAAACAGAAGCTCATATAAGCTCATATATCACAGGCTGGTCTTGAATTTCCAATCCTCTTGCTTTCACCTCCCTGGAGTTGGGATTACAGGAATGTGCCGCCTGTGCCTGATGTACATGATGCTGGGAATTGAAACTAGCATCTTTAACATGGCAAGCACTCTACCAACTGAGCAACATCCATAGCCTGGTAAATGTAGATTTGTTGATGATAATAGCTCACTGTAATGCTCATTGTTTTTGCATTTTCCCATTTTAGAGACGCCCAAGCAGATGGCCAGCAATGAAGTTTCGAAGAGGATCGGGACATCCTGCCTATGCAGAAGTTGAACCAGTTGGAGAGAAAGAAGGTTTTATTGTATCAGAGCAGTGCTAAAATTTTAGAACAGAGCAGCACCAGTACTGGCTTACAGGTGTTAAGACTAAACTTTGCTTATACCTTTAAAACAGACAGACACACACCCGCAACCACAACAAAGGAGCCCTAAACTGCTGTAGCCAGGATGGAGACAAGATTTCTGGACGAGCCCAGCCCAGGAACATTGAAAGGAAAACTCAGACTTGTACAAGACACCATGTACACTGAATATAAGATTCCCTAGTAGAATGGCATCCATGGTTCACGAGGAACATCTGTGGACTTGCCAGAAGTGTGACAAGATGACAATGTTTTTGGTTTAGGTGCAGGGTTGCAAAGGGATCAAGGAAAGAATAATGATAATAAATAAAGCTTTAGTTCACAAGGGATCTATACCTTTGGTTCAAATGTTCTTCTCTGATGTCTCAAAGATGACCATGTTCCAAAGCCTGAATGCTTTCACTGGAAAGATCGATGATGAATGTTCCAAGATCTGCTTGCTCACAGGAGAGCAAAAACCAAACACAAATGGAGGTTTTTCTTTCTTTTCCAAAACAGACTTTCGGCAAAAGGATTTTATTTTTTGCTCTAGATGCAGTTGTTCCAGCAAGTTCATTACTTCACAGGATAAATCTTTTATCTATTCAAAAGTTCACTAGGCCTGCCTCTTCCTTGGTAGTGAACACCCTTTCTGTGAGCTGTGACACAGTTTCCAAATGTTAAGCTAAGGGCTAGTGAGGAGGGCATAGCCAGTGAGGTTTTCCATTCTCTCACTTCAGAATAAAATGAGTTTCATTTTCAGAGGCAGCGTCTCCCCTCCCACCTGGAGCCCCATGAAGCCTCATTTGCTCTTGGCTGATAGAAATAGACAGAAATAACAAGGAGAACTGTGTGATCATTTTTTGAGACAAATATCTTAAGGGATTTTTGAATACCCGCCCCCCCCTTTTTTTAAGATCACCATGTCTGTATGACAAACACATTTCATTGTCAATTCCTGTCTAAGAAACTATTCAAGTCAACATATCCCTGGTGATAGGGGGGAAAAAAGAATGAAATAACCCTGCTGAATCACGCAGCAATTTTCTTTAAAGCACATAGTAGTTACATAAATATATATATATAAATATAAATATATTTTGTTTATAACTAACACAAGGCAGGCTCTTGTGGCTCTAAAGAGTGTATTTTGTCATCAAGACAAAACAAATGCAAGATGTATCACTGCATTCCTTCCACAACATTGTAAGATAATCCTTAATATTAGAATATTTTTATGTCACTTCTAGAAGTGGTTCATTTGGTTGCGGCATGTATTATTTTGCTGCTTATTGGATCCACTCTTTCATTCATACCAACCCCCTCGCTCCTTGATTCAAAGAAGCAGTTGTATATGTCCCTTGAGTGGAGTTCTCATTTATAATCCGATTGTAATCCAAATTTTGAAAATTTTCCCTAACTAAAGAAAGGAAATGCACCAATTGAGGAGGAAAGTTGTTCAGGTAAACCATATATCTAAACATGAGTTCAGGTACCGTGGCATAGAATTCCACCAATCACTTGACCTGTAAAACCTTTGTATTCTGTGCCAAGAAAAAGTCCTGGTTCTTACAAAGTACAACATTTGCAGATTCAAGTTTCACAAAGCAAAGATTCTGAACAGTAGCACTTCACTGACAGTTTATAATCTGTGTACAATGTCTACACTGGACAGCATCCATCCTCTAGCAGAATGTCACGTTATCATCCCCAGTTTCTTACATAGTCGAGGGCTCTTTTCTGTCACATGTATTTTGCTTTCCACCTTGGAGGACTTGGTGGTGGTCACTTTTCCCTAAACTCAGCTAAAAGTATCAGGACACAGAGATGGGAGAGCCACATGATTGTAGGATGTGATGACAATCTGTGCCCCAGTTATGCTCAAGTTATGAGAAATATCTCAGCTCATTCTTGTTGGTATAGTTTTGGTGAGAAAGCAGTAGCCAAATGACTCGCCAATGTAACTGGTGCAGCTGGCATTCTGCAGACACCTAATGTGCACATGGACGACTTTCCTTTCAGGATAAGATAAGGATGCTTTCACGAGCTTTGGCAATAAGCATGGCTTCCAACAGCAATGAATTGGCAGCCACATAAATCTCTTTGTATCTGCATCTCACTCCTAATGTAATTCCTACAAGCAACAATGAATTGGCAGCCATGTAAATTTCTTTGCATCTATATCTCCCTCCTAACATAATTTCAACATGTAGTAATATTATCCTTATATCCTTCAAAGCTCCTCTTCCATTTTATTTTACTTAAAACAGTTGATAATTTTCTTAAACAAATACACAAGACCCTCTGAATTATTCAGTATATCAAAGCACCAAGTAACGGGGGGGGGGGGGGGGGGGGGGGGGGGGGGGGCGAGGAGACTTGGAAGCAAGAAGGATTCTAAGTTGTGTGGAAACTTTCCAAGATAACTGAGAGAGAGAATAAGAAGTTCTGCTTTGTAAGAATCCACAAAAATATTGATAGAGTCTATTTGCTCTATGAAACTTTAATTCTGTTTGTGCTCCTGGTCTGTTCTTGAATCCTGTTTGCTTCAGAAGAAGGGCATATAGGGTTTCTAGAAATTTCAAAAAGGAGTCCAGTATTGTGGACTTTATATAAATTATGCATTACAAAGGGTAGACACAAATACCTTAGTCAACATTCTGTGAGCATGAAAAAAGAATGATAATGGTGTTCTTATGAGAATAATAACAGTGGGATGCATACAACCTTAAGGAGAAACCAGGGAAATGGTGCTGCAAAGGAAGTTAGCTATTTTACCTTAATTGTAAGAGTAATTAATGACCAGGGGTCAGAGTTACTAATCAACCAACCTGATGGTACATGCCATCTATTGGCTTGTTTGTGAATGGTTGAGACCTTAAGGTACACTAACAAATAGAAAGATAAAAGTTAACGGTAAAGGGCAATTGAGCACAAATGTTTTTCTGTAAGGTTTCTAGGGTGTTTCTAGGTATCACAAATGTATAATCTAGAGAGGTGCTGTCTACTATTATGTCTACTGGCCAACTATGGCTAGTGATTTTTAGATTAAATACAATTTATATTCAATCTTCTGGTCACATTTAAAGTGACCCATAGCTGTATTTGGCTCATGGCTACCATTGTGGGCTACACACATTTCTAATTTTGCAGAAAATTTTACTATAAATTACTATAATGTTTCAATTGAACTACTTGTTCTTGAAGGAAATAGAGGAAGGAAGGAAGGAAGGAAGGAAGGAAGGAAGGAAGGAAGGAAGGAAGGAAGGAAGGAAGGAAGGAAGGAAGGAAGGAAATATGATATCTCTTAGACACATTCAAACATATTTTTTGTGATATGAAAGAAGCCTCATAGAGAAATGAAAAGAATAGTAGTTGACATGGCTCTGTGTCTTCATAGTGTTTTCTTGGAAAAATCACTTCAATCTCCATGAGTCTCAATTTTCAAGTTGGAAAATAAATTAAATATGTTATCCCATCTTTTTTGCAAGATTGTTTTGCAGACTGATTATACAGATGTAAAGACTTTCAAAACCATTCATCAATGCAATCTTTAAAGCACATCTGTAGGACCAGCACCAAATTGCACACAAAGTAAGAATAGTCCATCATTCCAAAAAGCAACTAAAGACAATCAAGGCAATACATTCTTGAGAAAGTGTCAAAGCTCATAGCAAAACTGCTTGAATTTTTTTGTCCATTTTTTTGTTTTGTTTTGGTTCATGTTTTTTTTTCCTAGCTCTTTTTCTTATTTGCCCAGTTGCTGTGTCTCCTCCAACTGCCTGGACTCTTTCTTATGTGGAATCACTTGGTGCCTCTTATTTTTCTGCCTTTATTCATGCTTTACATTTTACAATAATAAGAATCTGAGGATCTTATCAGAGGCTCTTTTGAAAACAAACAAATGGTACTGCAAATATTAGCTATCTCATATTTATTTTATTTCTATTACAAATGTAAGGAGCTATGAAGTTAAAATATAAATATGATGGAGACTTGCTTTTTAATGTAAATTCTGCAAATAAAGACTTTATAAAAGGAATAAAATTACCTTAAAATACTCATGTTCATATAATATATAATGTGAGAAGGCATCTCATACAACCTGTTCATTTTACTGATAAGAAAACCAAGGCTTAAATACAAACAATAGTTCTCACTATTGTCAAAGTGGGTTTTGAATTTAAAATTCTCAATTGGTCTTTTTTGTTTCAATTGTTATTGCTTGCATTTCTTGTAAGCAGTTAAGACAACCAAACAGGTTAAAGTCATAATCCATGACAAAACCAACTTTATTTGCTCTCTATATCATATACTGTAGTATGAAACAACCTTCATGTATCCTGTTACTATCTTAAAAACGCTGTTATTCTATTTCAAATTCCATCTCTTGTAGGGTCCTTATGTGTTCCCTCTCCCACCTTCTCAGCTGTGGTCATCAGGTTAGCAATGCTATTTATCTTTGTCATTTAACTGTTCTTCTGCCTTTGTTTCATTTCTATTCAATTGTATTTGAAAACTAATACTGTTTATTGAAAAATTTCTACAACATAGATGATCAGTTTTTACTTGTTCATGAAAACCATTTGGAAACTTGTGTCCCAAGAAGGTCTTATGGGGAAATATTCTGAGATTAGAGGTATTACCTATGATATACTCATATTATTGTGTTTTTATAAAGCACTTTACATTTTACAGAGTATTTTGATTCATCTTTTCACTTGTTCATTCATTGAACCACACAATTAACTTTACTATATGTTAAGCACCTACTAGAAGTTACTCTGGAGATCTTGTGGTATAGGAAAACAAATTGTGTGTGTGTGTGTGTGTGTGTGTGTGTGTGTGTGTGTGTGTGTGTGTGTGTGTGTAAACAGTTTAGTTGGCTGGAGAGATGGCTCAGTGGTTAAGAGCACTTGCTACTCTTTCAGAAGACCAGAGTTTGGTCCACAGTACCCAGAGTGTTTACAGCTATCTGTAACTCAAGCTCTAGAGGAGCTTACATCCTTTTCTGTTCTCTATAAGCACTTGCACACACACACACACACACACACACACAGAGAGAGAGAGAGAGAGAGAGAGAGAGAGAGAGAGAGAGAGAGAGAATTTAAATATTAACAAATATAAATGAAAAGTTCAAGGAACTAAATATAACAATACAATCACAACTTTGCAAATAGGAAAAGTATTAATTTATCAATTTTTAATTCAAAGAACTATTGTTCTTTTTCAAATAAGCTGACAACTTCATGGATATGAAGGAAAAAAATCTCAAAGGTGTCCTGGTCCAGGAAAAGTTTTCCATTCACTTGAACTCTTGTTGAGTGGAAGTTTTCATCTCTTGCGTGGATACTTCTGATGCTGGTTTTAAATGATGAGCATCATTGGTTTTAAACCCTAGAAGCCACAAGTGCTTTCAAAAGGCTTCAGGTACCCTTTGGGTGTGCTGCAGCTGTTCTGTAAGAAGACAGACATCATTTCCTCAACTCAACACTGTTGACATTTGAGATCTCTAAGTCTCTGTGGAATGTTTAGTAAGTGGTTCTAAATTTTGTAGGGCTTTTGGCCAACTTCGAGGCTTTTATTGATTATCCAGCAGCACCCACATCCCTTCAAACAAAAGATATGTGTAGAGACATCATTAGTGTTCCCAGGGTGGAGAAAAGGGAGAGGTTAGCCAAAGCATCCCCTGGCAAAATCACTGTATGGCCTTGTAAGTAATTTTTGTCAGGAGTCAGGACCCAGCACGTGGTGGACACTATAATTCAAGCCCATGAGAGGATGAGGCAGAATTGCAAGTCTGTGGTGATGAGAGAGAGAGAGAGAGAGAGAGAGAGAGAGAGAGAGAGAGAGAGAGAATAAAATAATTTCCCCTTTTGCTTATTAATCTCTATCATATGTAGATTTTTATTCATAACAAAGCTTGGAATCTCACACTTCAAAGTACAAAAGCAACACATTGTTCAAAAACAACACAACATCACTTTTATCTAGTATTCCATCTTTTGATCTAACAATTATTTAGAGGATTTAATTATATTAAGAGGAGATGAGAAGATAGGATGTATTTGGAAACTTGAAATTTGATTGTTGGATCATCAGCCACCAGGTTGTCAAGCAATGACACCTTGCAGCCATATCCCTGAGGCAACAATCTGTACTCAGTAGAGGGCCATGACCTTGAAGTCACACAGCTGGAGTATCTCAGAAACTTTGGTCGTTTTCCTCATCTACAAATTGGAGCCTCACACTGTGCATGGAAGTTGAAGCTGTTTGCATCTAATTTTAAGAATGACTGGATGGCCTTTCTATTTTTAATTCCTGAATGTTTTGCTGTTCATACCATCAGAATATTCTCTCCTGCCACCTAATCAACTATATGTTTAAAGCAATAGTGTTGATATGGAGGGCTTTGTATTGTCCTATGAAAATTACAATGCCCCCAGAAATTTAAAATTGAAAACTTTAGACTCGAAAAGCTTAAGTATTTCAAACCAGTGTGTACTCCTTCAATGTGCCTGATGTTCATTTCCCTTTGTACTCCTTCAATGTGCCTGATGTTCATTTCCCTAAGGACCAGCAGCTTCCAGTGTACAACTGTCTATACAGTCAATTTGTACTCGTGTATATTTTGCAGCATTTGGAAAATTTGCTGAAGTTACATGAAGACTGTCCTTTATGAATATTTTAGAAACATAACAAACTAAATTTGGAATATCTGGTTTCCCTTTGCTTTTTGTTAAAAACCAAGTGGACTTGATAGCATTCAGAATTATTCAGTACATATTAGTTAATATATTCGATAGGAAATTTAAGGACAAAAGTCTGTAGGTCTTGAGCATTGGGAATATTCTCACTGGTCAGGCATGAAATCAGAAAAATCCAACCGGGGGGAACCACATAGGTGTGTAGAGTTTTATACTCTCATTGTCCTATCAGACTACATGGTATTACTTCTCAAGGTTCTGAGTCAGCTGGTCCACTAAATTTAACTCAAATTCTACTGTGTCTGCCTAATTATTTCCAGGTATAACTAAGACAGCATTCAGTGTCCACTGCCATTAGAATTATTATTGTAAAGAAGCCTGATTCCTTGAAAAGAATTCCTTTAAGAATTTTGTAGAACATATCACACTGGCTTCTCGTACTGTTTATTCTGAAGCAGCAAATACCCAAAGAATGCATGCCAAAGGATTATTACAACACATTGTCAACACTAAAAGGTCCTGTTACTTTATATCCACGATAAAAGTCCAAAAATGCAAATCACAAATTGGCATTCATCTTTATCTAATATCTAAGATTTATTAACATTTGATGATCATTCAAAAATCTTCTAATGGATTAAAATGAAAAACTTGGCCTGGCAGATACTGATGTATGTGTTCATTTTATATTTCAGCTGAAAAGCCTCAATGACACGATCTTTTCCAAGGGAGTTTAGACTTCTATCAGCAGTCTCTCTTCTCCTTAACATAAAAAATATGTGTCTTAATTAAGGTATCCATCACTTATCATGGAATGGTGAGCCTTTGGGACCCATCAGGTATAGCAGGAAAGCGGTTTTAGAAGTCTGGCACACTGGATGAAATTTGTACATAATGGTACGTGAGTAGACATGAATCCCAGGGATGTAAATAAAGACCAATATGCACTATCAGGCAAGCGGCTCAACTCTTCAGAGCAGTGTTCAAATAAATATTCAGTGAGGATCAGATCAAATTTAGGTCATTATTAAACAGAAGCTCAGATTCTGGAAGTGACACCAGGAACCGTGTGATAGACTCAAGTACAAGACATACCCAATTAGTCTAAACCTCAGCCATCACTCACACATATTTCTTTGACAGTACCAATCCTAACATCACTGATTCCCTTGCTCATGGGACTTGAGTTATTAATAATCAAGTAGTTGCTTTTCCATTTATCTCCTTTGATTTAAAAGAGATGAACGTACTGTTCAATTTCTGTTATACCAGGCAACCACACAAAAATAACATAAAAGGATATTTTCTGAGAAATCAATAAGAACTATTTCATCTATGATCTCCAAGATTTATCTATGAGAAATTTTCACCATCTCAGGACCTGAACTCTAGTGCCACTGCCTAGATGCTGTAATGACAATTATCCAAATATCTAATGGTGAACTGGACAAAGCTATGTTCAGACTGTGGTAGGAGGGAAAATAAATCCCAATCATTTCCAATACACTACTCCGAAAATAATATTAAGAGAAATCAGAGCTTCCTTTGTAATTAAATGTTAAAAAATGTTTTAGAGTAACCAACGAGGCATCTTGAGACAGACGTCCTGTGTATGGTATAACACAAATGTCAGAGGCCCTGTCTAAGCATTGAGAGAAGACTTCGTTGAATGGTCAAAACAAATCTCACATTTGCCTGAGTTAAGGCATCTGGGTAGGAACCTGGAAAATACATTATTTTTAAAGGAAAAAGGAGAGACAGCCTTTCTTGCATGCCAACTGGGATCATGGGAACTTCAAATGCCAGGAATGTACTACTGTTTCTGTTCTTGCTGCTTGTGGTCATTTGAAATGTTGAAAGGTGAAAAGAGGAAAACTTGAGGACTGGAGGAGAGGGTATGCTATCCACACTTTCAACCAGTCACACTGTGCAGAGAATATCTGCGATGTGGCTCAAAGTGGAGATATCTGGACTGTGTCAGAATCACGAAGCTCCCTGTCTGCTGCCGAGAAGAGCACACTAAGGAAAATTTGACCCCGGAAACTCAGTTGGCCCAAACAAAGGAAACATTGTGGTAAAGCAGGGCCCATTGCCAGTATGGGTCTTACCTTTATGAGAGCCTTCTGTGGCTAACTAAATGTGTGTCTTTCTGGTGATGGTTAATTTTACAAAGGATTTTCCAAACTTTCATTACTATAGGACTTGAAAATCAGCATTCCAAATTTCTTCCAGTCTTCTAGGCATCGTGCCTATTTCTTCTGCCCTGTCCATGAGTCATTCTGAGGCTGCCTCTGTCATGCTAGAACAGTTTGTCCATACTCCTCACACTGGACATACTTGTACCTGCAAATACAGACACAATTGTATCTGATTTTGCACAGAGACAATCTGAGAGCAAAAGTTGTGCGAGCTCCACTGGAGCCCTTGGTTCAAATCCCATAGTTCAGGTGATACATAGCACCCCACAAGCTTCCTGAACATTTTTACTGGAAGACAAATTAACTAAGTGTTAATGTATTTTCTTACAGTCCATTAATTTTCCATCTTTTACCTGGGAACCCATCTGAGTAGAATGATACTTTATTTTTTTTTACACAGTTTCTTATACCATTTTTCTGCCATTCCGGTTCTGCATACACTGTGGAGGGAATTTCTTTCACAGCTAGTAATTTCCTAACGAACCCAGGATACTGACTGGTACCTGTACACTGTCACTTCTAAGGGCTGGACACTGATGGTGACCAAATGTTGCCTGCACTCCTGCTATTGGTTGCTCTTTTTGGAATTAAGCCGTGTTCTTCTAATTTTATGTTGGAGCGAACAAATTTTGAACTTTAGAAGGGAGGTAGGGGGCTGTTTGTGTAATGTTGCTGTCACGTTTGGCTGCATATTAAAACAATAAATGAGCATTGTTTTAATTTCTTAAATACTCTCACATTGTCATTCAACACCTTTCCGTCTCCTTGCCTCTATTTTTGCCTATTTTGTGAAAGGAACTGTTTGCAGACAGAGTACAGAGCCACCAGCTAATGTCACACTAGACAATCCTTTGCTCTTAATCATGTCCTGCCCTAGGGACTGGACACCAAGGAGAGTAGCTGCAGAAAATACAAGATGCAGGGCCCAGGTGAGATGGCTGAGCAGGTAAGTCTACTTGCCCCTAGATCTGAAGACTGGAGTTCAGTTCCCAAAGTCATATGATGGAAGGAGAGAACTGGTTCCTAAGTTTTCCTCTGACCTCCACATGCATGCAGTGGTACGTGCTCATTGATATCACACACACACACACACACACACACACACACACACACACACACACACAAGTAAACTCAGTAAACTCAGGCCTACCACCAGGACCAAGAAGCACATAGGGTACCTGAAACTGGCAGGAATCCCAGGCTAAGCCATTCCTTCAGTTATGGCTTTTTTAAAACATGAAATTATTTGAACTGTATTGACTAAATTTTGATATCATGGAGTAATTCATCAGATCAATTTTAAATGGGTGTGAATTGACTTTATGGTGACAAAAGGAAAATTATTACTGCAAATCAGGCCACTTTTCCTGACAATGAGGAAACATTAGGCTAAAGCTTTAAAAATCAAGTAATATACGCCATTAATTAAATTAGTTAGGGCATGAACCTGAATGATATATGTTAAAGAACAAAGCTGCTAACGACAACTCTGCCCTTTAAAATTAGCTGCAGTGGTGTTTCTTTTTTTTTTTTGGTTTTATTATTATTATTATTATTATTATTATTATTATTATTATTATTATTATTTTACAACACCATTCAGTTCAACATAATAGCCACAGAATCCCCT